AGGAAAACATATATAGGAGAAACTAAAAGAAAATTAAAAATAAGATTAAGTGAACATATCAGAGCAATTAAAGGAAAATATGCAAATTCGGCAGTATCGGACCATTGTAATTCAGAAGGCTGTGCAATAGATCTAAATACGGTAAAAATTAGAAAAAAGGAAAAAAATAATTATAAAAGACAACTGTACGAGCATTTAAATATAATTAGGCAAACTAATAAAATGAATACCAACAGTGGTAGAGAGATCCACCAATCATGGTTAAGCATTATAAAAGGAAATGAGAATACATTAGAAACAAAATTAAGCAGATACAAACGAACCAAAAGAAGTGAGTGATTTGAAATAATATTTTAGATAATGATTAAATTTATTGTTTTAAACTGATTTTAATTGTCAAAAAATTAGGAATGTGTAAAATTGTATGGTTGCTGTGGATAGTGAGTTTAGGTGGAGAAATAGTGAAGATAGGAAATACAGAAATTGTAAGAATTTTTAAATATTTATTGTTGGGAAATGTCTGTGTTCTTAACTAGTTTTAGTGATAATTGTTCCAAAAATGCTTTTATTGTTGATTGTTGTTAATTATAGAAAGTGTCGTTGGAAGGCCTGCTGAAGAGGGACGAGCAAGTCCGAAACACATGTTTAAAGTGTATGTGTTCAGGTGAACTAAATAAAGAACATTATTTTTGAACTGTAAGACTAAATATCTGCATCCATAATTCCAGTATAATAAGTCCTCTTAATATATAGAAAGTACTAGTAATACAAAATAAATTTTTAAATAGAGTTATAAAAAAAAAGGAACAAAAAGGTATAATAATTAAAATATTTTTGAGTTGTTTCATTAATTTGGGTGTTATGTTGTTTTTAGTGTATTGTGTCAGCCTTACCTAATTGCTGTCTAATGTCATTTATTTGTGTTTCTATTCTTCTCTGTCAAGCAGGCTTGTGATAGAATTGTCTTTTGTGTGTGTCTGTCTGTGATTGTATTTTCAGACCATGGTGTGTTACTACTGTGACTGCCCCAGAATAAATTAATGTATGAATGTCTGAGAGTGTAGAAATTGAATGAATGTAGTTTGGTAGTAAGTGAGTGTTTACACAATTTAATGTTTTTCCTACTTCCTTTATGTGTTGATTTTTGGTATTTGTGGTCTTTGTGTGGGATCTGTACCAGTATATTTAGTGAGTGTTTCCTGAAATATAAGTGAGAGTGTATTAACTAATTCTATGTCTACGTTATCAGTGATGGATGAGGAAGTGCCTGTAGTATCATTAGTTGTAGTTGTTGTATGTGTGCTATTATCAATGCTTGTTGCCGAATTATCTGGACAGGTTACGTGATCTTCATTAATAATGTTAAATGTTTCTGTCTGTTGTTTTTATATTTGATCAGCAACCTGTTGTTTGATAAGTTCAAGTGTTGTTTGTGGGATAAGGTTGTTGTGTATAATTGTTCTTTTTTGATCAATAACCCTTTGTTCGGTGACAGTGAGGCAAGGATATTGTTGTGTGAATCTATGGTGCAGTTGTTGTCTGTATGCTGTCATGTTTGTTTCGAGTTTTGTGATTGTGTAGTAAGTACGGATGATAAACTCGTTCATTTCTG